AAAGTATATACAATTTTGATGAATGCCAATGAAAGTCACGGCTTCAGACACGGGCGGAAACCTTCAATAAAAACACGATTTAAATCCCTCAGGAGCATCATCATCCTCTACCGTTGGCGGCGATGCAACAGGGAGGAATTCGACCCAACAGCAGCCATCAACAGCAGCAATGGAACCGCCATAAAAGCATCTCAGAAGCGAACCTGTTGGCGATGGAGTACAACCGGGCGTACCATGCGGGGTCTCCCCAACATTTGAGGGACCCTCGAAGGGCCAGCGTGGCCGAGTTTGGCCACCATGGGCCCCACATGCACCATGATGTTGTGGATCACAGGTAAAGCGACAATTTCGGTCTGGTCCAAGTTGCTTCATTCAATGCGTGCAGCGTCTTGAGCCACTTGAGCAAGCCGATGTCCAAGGCGGAGAGCCAGTTTTCCATACCGGCGTCCAGAAAGGGACCGTCGGTCATCCGGTCTGACTACACGGCGCAAGAGGAGGAAATCGCCCCGGCCTTCATCTACCCACACTTGCAGGTAGGACTTCTGTTAGGTAGAGTTGTCTGGACGGGTTTTGGCATGTTGTGGTTTGCAGGCCAACCAGGTCAGCCTCTGGCCGCCAGCGGCTTCATGTTTCGGCTCGAGAAATCATCTCCTCTTAAGCGAGGCTTCGTTTGAGGCTCGGGGAGGCGATCTGCTCGCCATCATGGCCACTTCCGAGCTGGAGGGCACGGCGGTGCTGGACTTGGTGGCTGGCCGGAGATGTTGTGTTCAAGGCGAAGTAGGGAAAATTATCCCGCAATTCAATTGGAGGGTTTATAAGTGGCTTTTAACAGATTCTGCTCAATGGGCAACGAGTGCGGGCGGATGCTTTGAGGGCCAGAGTGGCATACGCCCAAAGCGATCCCAACTTGTGCCTGGACATGACGGCTCTGCAAATCATGAGGTAAATTCACAAGCTAACAAAAAATGTACTGAAACGTGGGATTTTAGGCCGTCGTAAAATGGAATTTCTTCCTGACGTTTCGCAAGCACGAGTGGCTTGCATCTTCAGAAGTGGTTTGCTTGAACGCTTACACTGT